TCTGGGCCTCTCTGCCATAACTCCCCACTGCCCCTGTGCTCCTCTGCTGAGCTGTGCCTCCCTCTTGCTGCTGCTGGCAGCTTTCCTTTGCATTTCCTGGTCACCCACTCCATCAAGAGTTCAGGAAATCGGATCCTGGCCCGAGAGTGACACTTGCATAGCATTGCTCCCAATATCTTACTTATTCAACTTTATGAATTTCCAGACTCTTTTCACAGCCCACTGCACATGCCAAAAGAGATACCACCGTGCGGTATCAAGAGCTTTGTGGAGAGGTCTGTGGTGCTTTGTGTTGCCCTGGCATCTGCAACACTGCTTAGAAATCCCCAGGTTTCAAGCAAATCAGCTCTGGAAAGGACAGCTCGGAAACCTGACTTAGTGTGGGCTGGCAGCTAAATCATGTTACAGACCTGTCCTGACCACGCTCCATCAGCGTACCTGATCCCTGTACTGTTTGCACAGATGAAAGAACTTCAGCCTGTATGAACTCCAAACGCTTGATATCTTCCTAAGCTCTCCTGTGCGGTCTGCCCTTGGATAGGAAAAAAAGCTTAAGTGGGGCAGAAGCCCTCCTGAGAAAAGCATCTCTCTGCATTTTGAATGAAATCCAACGGGTAACTCCACTGGAGTCTCCCTGTCAGCAGCACTCCCTGTCATGCCCTGCTTGCTCGTGTCACTAAAACCCCTCAGTCAACCCATGGGAATGAAATACAGCTGGAAATAGAAACCGTGCATCTGAAAGGACGAGCGGAGCAAAGAAATCATAAGCTGAGGTTTAAAAAGCAGCTGAGTTACTCAGAAATGTTTCCCAACATTCAACAGCCCAGAGAAACTCAAGTCAAACCACACAGGTTACTTCACACTCTTCACCTTCCCCTCAGGTACCTCACACGGCTTGTTCCTGAGGGCTAATTGCCACTTGGTTCTTATTTCTCATCTCAAATCCTAAGTGCCAGCACATCCCGAGCACATCCCAGAGCAGCTCGGTTAGGCAGAAGCTCCATTTCCTCGGGCACCACTCCTGACAGTGAGGAGGTTGATGTGATGCTAGCTGAGCAGGCACAGAGCGGCCTACCCGCGCCACTCGGCCGTCGTGGCAGCGCCTCCGGAGCTGGCTGGAAAGCTCCTTCACGGCCCCACCTGGCCAGGCACGGCCAGCTGTGCCACACACCAGGTGCAGCCCCGCCGAGCAACAGCAGGAAACGCCTGCCGCCAAACTACGCACCGGGATGGTCTTGATGCCGCTCTCAGATAGCGCCCTGGCACCTTCTGAATAGATCTTCACATCAAAGAATCGCTAATATAAACACACTTTGTTTACAGGGCTCCTCAGAAATCGTTGTTCAACATCTTCTCGACATCTATAAATCACCGATCAAGCCAACATCTACAGCTCCCGGCCCAGCCAAACGCCAAGTTCTGCTGGGAGTTAAATCAGTAACTCTCGAATCACTGCAGTGCTCCAGCTCTGGCACGCTGGTGAAGCATTGCAAGAGCACTGTGACAGCTTCCAAAGGATCTCAGTGAGGAAAATGCCCAGCAGGTCACTGTTCCTCGGAGTGCCAGCGAGTGGAACCACAGCAAGCAGCCCTTCGGCACTAATGGACTCTCACAATCCAGTGCGTATGATTTAAAAAACGCAGACATTTAACTAAATCGTGTACTAACGAGAGGAAAAGCATTGCAATGGCAGCCAGGGTAGGAACACATAACTTGCTGAAAGCTCATTTCAACCAGCTGAAACCGAACAGGTGACCTGAGCAGGCCACATTCTGTGCTTGCGTTGATATGCTCATTATTTGGACACAACGTGAAGCTTTAAATACGGCCCTTTTCTCTCAAGCACTGCCTGGATGTTGTACATGCAAGTCTGTCAAAGAAGTCCTAAGAATTCTCCGCAGCAGAGACTTGGAATGTCAGTTACAGATCCCCTTGCAAAAGGCATTTCTTTCACAGAAGCCATTAACACAGAAGCACCAAAAATCCTCATGATAATGTCCAACTGGGTGCTGGGATGCATTCTCACATCAAAGACTTCACGCTCACTGCTAACAAATGGACTCCACGCCCCGAGCCCCACTTGCAAACACAGCTCCCCACCATGAAACGAAATAAAAAAAGGACAGACATGACCAAATGGCTTATGAAAAAGGAGAAGCAGGTTCCTCAGTTCCGGCCAAGCCATGTGATAATCCTAATTAGCAGTATTTTCCAAGTAATTATGGTCTTAGAATAACGATGTTAATAAAAACAACAAGTAAGAGGCCACCTGGGATAGTTGTATCGTGTCTCTGTTGAAATTCCAGTAAACACTTCTGGAATTCATACCAGCAGACAGTCTGGGGTGGCGGTGGGGGGAAATCTCAAACCTACTTCACAGTTCAGCTAAGTCAAAGCAAATCTGATTCCCCTGAAGTCAGAGTCAATGTCAGTTGATGCAAATGAGCATTTGTTGAACAAGTGAATCCCTAAATGCATTCAGCCTCGGAGCCAGAATCCCACATGGTGTAACTTGTTGATTAATTTGCCTGTATGGGACAAATACATTTATATATCATCTATATATCTATATATATGGCAAATATGTGGGAATGCCCTGCACTCCGCAGCCGGCCAGGCCAATGGAGCGAGGGGCAGCAGATTCCACGGCAGTGCTGGCAACGTGGAACAGCAGGGCTGAGGGAGAGCTGGACCAGGCTCTCCTCCACACGCCTGGCATGTACGGAGACCCAGTTACCCGGGGCCGAAACTGTTGGCATTTGCCAGCTCTGAGGACTGCACATACACATGGCAACAGCTATGGAGGAAAGGAAGGGGTTAAGGATGGATTTTAGTCACTGTTCAAACCACCTCACATCTGCCACTGACCTACGGACCACAACTGTAACAGTGAACCATCACACCAAAGCTTTAAAATTTGAAACAAATATCTGAAATGTCCAATGAACATTTTTGGAGGCTTCTTCTATGTGCCAAATAAAGGTTCGGTTTGACCCTTGACTACTTCAGCCAAAGCTCCCGAGTTCAGCTGAGAAGCCCGGCAGAGAGGAGAACATGCCTTTGCCCCAGCCCAATGCATTGCACCAGCCCTTGGATCTGCTGGCGACTCAACAGCTACAGATTCTGGATTCACCCATTTTAAGCACTTCAAAACATTTTTGTGAGGGTCTTGACAACCTTCCAGTAAAAAGCAGCTGTCAAAATGTATCATACAGTATCCTAGCAGACCTCCTCCACACCGCTGCTATAATTAGGTTGGGGTTTTTATTTTGGCTTTAAAGCAGCTTGCAGAGAATATAATTTTCAGTTTGGATAAATGAAATGTTCAGAGTACATCAGGTCCATAATTATATTTCAATTTGAGAAGAATGTGTTCAGTTTAAAAGGAAGCAAGCAGTGTAGTTGGTGGTAATTTAATTTACCTTCCAAAGCTTCTGAAATTTCTCAAAGCCAAACCCTCAGAGTAACTGCAGTTCACAAAGAACACAGAAAGTGGCAAACTCCTTCCAAAGTGAGCACAGTGTCCCCACGTCCCTTTCAATGAGGCATTTCATAGGAGAAGCTTGGAAGCTTTTACCCTCCAGTTCTCTTCTAACGCTTCCACGATTTCATCGACTTTGAGAATTCGAGTCCCCGGCTCAAGGGATGCGACCAGTTACAGACAGCCTGAGTGACACAGCTCCTGTCAGGGTCTGGCTGGCTGTGGTGCTTGTGTGACACAAAATGACGACAAATAAGGCTTCACTGACTTGACAGACACCCTGTGTCAACCCACCTATGCAAAACAGGCAGCACTTAACAAGGAGCCTGGCTCCACAAACTCACAGAGCCGCATGTCTGACAGCTCTGTGTGTGCATGTAAACCAGAAGGCTGCCTATATTCAAGAGCTGCCTGGACAAAGAGAGGGAAAACAGAGCCATAATAAGTCGCCAAGTCCCCTCTGTTCCCCAGGATGCTCTATCCTATTATTTCGACAAAACCAGTGATGGCCAGTAGTGAAGAACTTAATCCCTGAATGTCATCACCCAGCTGTCCTAACTGGGCAAGAATCTAAACACAGAAAGAAAAAGCAGCAGTCAGTGAACTCTAGAAGGCCAGCACCAAGCAACCAGCACTGCTTACTTTTTTCCCTGCTTAATGTATTTCAACAAGTTGTCTGAAACAATGAGCAACCCTGAAAATATACACACAAATGTTTCCCAAACAAGCGCACAAACATCTTGAAGCAGTCCACAGCCACTCTGAACCTCAGCCTGATCATACCTAAAACATCAGCACTAGGGCTCTAGGGTTTTATTTCTATGCTGACTACTCGCCCTCTAATCATATTTCCTTCATATTTAACAAGGCAATTTTCTCCCTCGTTTCTTCAACTTATTTTTCATTTGGCATTAAAAAAACAAAAAAAAATTAATACTTTTTATTCATGCTTCAGCTCCTCTGAATTATTCCTACCCTTTCACTAGGCCAAACAGAAAATCAGGAACACATCAAGCTAAAACATGTTCTAGTCCATGTTCTTCTTGAGAGAGTGAACCCTTCCTAAGCCAAGAGTTCCAGTCGCCCTCCTCCTTTCCTGCCCAACACCACCCACTGGAAATGCAATCCCATTTACCGAGGCTGGGCTGTGAGTTACTGTGCCCTGATCTTTACTTGGATTTATCACACACTTTAGTCACTGCTTTCTGTCACTACTATTCCGTATCCTCAGTACTTCTCTTGACAACCCTGATAGAGCTTTCAGTCAGATGGCTTCCAAAGCAATGCAATAGTCCTCAGCAGCAAAGATACGCAGGAACCTCTATGCCTTGCTCCAGGACGTGAGCGATGTACTATAATATTTTAGTAGAAAGATAAGGAATGTTCAGGCGAGGCAGCGATACCAGCATCCCCACCAAAGCCCCGCACATCTCTGATGTGCTGCCTGTTTGTAGAAGCTCAAGGCTGTGACATCACAAGGATCACCAGGTACACCTGCAGCTACAGGCGTTTGCTCGCCGCTGCCTGAAAGCGGCCGACAGCATCGGGGCCGTATCCCCTGGGCAAACCTCGCACCCTCCGCACAGCCAGAACCCCCAAACAGAGCGACAGGGCACTGACTGCTGCAGGATCCAGCCAGACATGCCCTATCTCGTTTCCAGCAGGGAGAACACGCACCCTAGGCCACCCCTTTCCCTGGACCAAGCCTGGCTTTCTGTGAGGCTCAGACTGCTGTCCCCACCTCGCAGCACACGGCCATTGCGGCCGGTCCTCGGCTCCACGACTTGGGGGTGACTTACAACAGGGCCAATGCAGCTGTAGCAAACAGCACAGGCACCTGGAGGAGCTGGCACAGGTTTCCCAAGGGTTAGGAGAGCCCTGCTGCAGCAGGATCAGCTGTTTTTTCCGAAGATGCATAGGATATAAAAGACTCGAGAGTTCGCAATACACCTGAAATCGCTTCTTTGCACTCAGGGTCGCAGAACTCGAGAGCTGGGAAGGCAGGAGTGGTTTCACGAGCCTACAGGTTCAGGTCGGTGCCCATGCCAACCTGGGTGCAGCCCAGAGCATCTGCCACGGGGAGCTGGGACAAGCTCAGAGAGGCTGCCTGTGTTACCCACCTGAGCAGCTCCACTCAGCACAAATATCTGCTTCTAAACGCCTGACTGCACGGTGTGCACTTCAATACTGCTGATGCCTGCACTTGCTGCACGTGCACGGGACACTAAAGTCTTCTCCTCTGAAGGAGATGAGTGAGTAACCGCTGAAAGATCACAAAAGAAGCTAGTTTTCTGTCTCAGAGCAGACGGAGAGAAGTGCCTCAGCAGAGCCCTTGGATAACCCTCTTGGTGCCGAGCGAGAGCTCAGATCGTGAGCACACGTCAAAAGCAGTAATGCACTTGGTCTGTCCAGGGCAGAGGTTTAATCCTAACCCATTCCTTGCTCAGCCTCCCCAGCCTGAACACACTCAGGATGGAGTGCTGTGTCAGCCACAGCCTTTCCCCACAGATACTGTGTCATTCAGTTTACAGCAGCAATGGAGATTAAGACGATGCAGTATAAAACAGAGCTGTTAATATCTGCAATTAGTTAAAGCTTTAACCTTCGAAGACATTAAAAGAATGAACTAAAATCATACCCTGAGAAACATTAAAAGAAGATGGCCCCAAGCCATCAGGTATCTCACATGCTACGAGCCAGGTGTGAGACCAAATGCTTCTCTTAGATTCAGAACCCCTTCCAAAACTGGGGACAGGGAGGGATTCACGCTGTGGCCCTCAGGGGGACCAGCAAGAGTGGATCTGGAAGGACCCACGAACACTTCCCCCTGCTTCAGACCAAAACAGCAAACGCCATTTTGCAACGTGGCTTGGTAAACTTTGAGCACCAATATTTCAGGCAGGTTGGGTTTTTATGGGAGCCGTTTGCATGGCACTGACCCAAGGCAGTGTCTGAGTTTGGGGGCCACTGCTCTGCTAGATTCTCTCCTTACACGGCCGTGGTTTTGACAAGAACAAGCTGTCCAGTAACCTCTCTCTTTTTTGAACACACCAGTTTTCTTCACACTGAACTTTGTATGGCAGCATCTCTCCATCCACTGGGATGCCAGAGGCACGGCAAGTACAGCAGAACGTGGCAGCAACATCTTTTAGGACAGGAACGCTGACAGAATGACGAACAGCCCCGGCTGTTTCACCCTGAAACAAACTTCAATTCTGCCCATCTTGACAGAAATGAACTATGACAGGTAGGGACTGGCAAGAAGTAAAAGGCACAGTGCAGCTTTTTAGGGATTTCTTTCTCGTATTAAAGGATTTAATACATTGTATTTGCCGTCCCTGCTCAAAGACAGCACCCTCAGCCCTCACAGGATGATTGTTTTCCTTTCCTCAAAGTAAAGCTTTTCTTGATATTTTGAAACACATCCCAAGCTGTCCCTGTAAAAACAAACCAATTTCCTTGCACTGACCACAGGAAGAGACGGACAACTGAGGCAAGACAGTTCAACTGTCCTAATTGTAAACAGGATTCTGCTGCATTCTCATTTCTACCAGACAGCTCCCACTATATACCCGCTATAAAAACACCCCATAAGTACAGTGACCACCCAGAAGTGAAGGACTGAATTCCAAGAGGTTGTGGGGAGGGATGCAGCTCAGTTACACACGTGTTCTTATTTATGTAATTCTTCAGCAAAATTACATTGAGCTTTAAAAACATAAAATTAAATATTGATGTCAACAGAATGCAAATGGCTAGAACATCCGTGTGGGAGAAATATATTCATGCTAATCAGAGGGGTGGATGGGCTACAATTACAGCAGTAAGATTTAAACAGAAAGGATTTTTTTTTTCTTTTACCCAAGGCAGAAGGTGCTCTGTGATGTGCTACAGAAGCAAAAGGCTCTGTTTCTATACAAACGAATGCTGCAGAGTAGCTCGGCCTGACCTTATTACTCTGATCCCCAAGAACCCCATCACTAACTTGCTTTGCTCTGAGAGGGAGCAGTTGCTCCCTGATGTTTGCAGCACTGCACCCAGCAGGCTTGCACACAAAGGTTTTTGGAGTCTCACGGCTGCAAATGACAAACACTGGCCAGCCCATCCAGGACAAAAGCAGCACCAACAGCTGCTAAACTGAAATTGCTAGAAACGTACAGAAAGCCACTGGCCCGGGTGCCGTGAGTTCAGATTTCCACCTCAGGAAGTCACCTTCATGGCCTGGCTCTGACAGCAGTACAAACCTGGAATCTGCCCTTAGACATGAACAGAGGAACCCAGCTATCCTGTGCCAAGAGGAAGGAACTGGACATCGAGACCATCTTTTTATTTCCGATTTGGTCCAGTACACTTCCTAATTGCACAAAATAAGAGGACACCCACGCTTTTATCTGTCAATCCTTTCGTCAAACAACAACAGGAAAAATCCTGCATCTGAATTCCATCCTCCTTGAATTCTCTGCACTTCTCTGGAAATGAGCCATCTGAGGTACCTCAGTTTACCCCCTCCTCAGAGAAGCCGAGAATATTTTAGTCATTAACATCTTCACTGTCAAAATTACCCTGGTCAAAACTCAACCAATGCAGAGACAGGTTATTAATGTCTCACTTTACCGATTCACAGCAAAGAACACAGCTCAGGTCAATATCCTAATCCTTTTCCCAGCCCAGGAATATTTTCAGTTGTTATCTGACCCAAATCACCAGAGAGGGAGCTCAGCACTTTTGTGAGCTGGAAATGCACAAGAATGAGTAAAGTGCTGGACTGGTGCATCCACAAAGAACACACAAGCTCCAGTCACATGTTATTTAGTTAAAGCCTACATCCTCTTGTCAGTACTACCCAGAGTTACGGTGATGGAATCACCAATGTTGGTCAGCAATCTCCTGAACACCAGATGATGGAAATAAAAGTCAGTCACTGTTCATGTGTTTATCTATAACTACCTGCAGACACTCACCTTGGCCTCAGCATCCTTCCCCTTCCACTTACCTCCTCCGCTCTCCTCGGCCCCTCAGACATTTCTACCCTCAGCCTACCAAGCTGTCAACCCAGCCAAGTGTGCTGCGGCTCCACTGGGTTTGAGTTTGGCTTTGCTGCCTGCTCCCCTCGGCCACACAAAGCTGTGTTTTCACATCCCACAGATGCCCAGAACCCAGGCCCCCCACGGAGTGCCCCAGCAACGCACAAAAGGAGTCGGGCACCGGTGTGACGGACCCAACACAGAGGTCAGCCTGTGCTGCTGACAGTCTGTCCCACAGCAGCAGCCACAGCCTGCACCTAGAGAAGGGCACTGTCCCAAGCGCACAGGGAGCTCTCAGCTTGGCAGGGTTCACCCAGTGCCACTGTGACAGCGACACTGCAGCCATGGCATCAGCCCATGCCCGTGCCCTGCTGCCTGACACACGGAGCAGGGAACAGCTCAGCGCTTCTAATCCCGCGTTCAGGCAACGTTCCCATTGACGTCAAACACAAATATTGCCGAGTTCAGCTGTGTAAGCCTCTGCAGCGGGGAAAACAAGTATATTTTCAGTACTTAAATGCTCGGCGTGCCCTTACAGAGAGTTCAGATGAAGCCTTCACGAAAGGTCGCTCCAAAGAAGAACTTGGTGCTGTCCCCACCTTCCCACTGAACAATGCTCCTCCCTACACTGCGGCACCAGAGCATCGGGCCGAGGCACCCCGGCACACCATCCTTCCCCAGCCACAGAACACAGCACACTCTTAAAGCAGGGAAACGGCGGTGCAAGGAGGCAGTGCCTGCACCTCTGCCACCGGCCAGGCTCTGCACCTGTGGGGACAGGCCTGTGACAGCAGCCAGCTAGAGGAAAATCCTTCCAGGCTCCCCCAGGAGCAGGCAGGACACACTGCCAACAGGCTACAACCGTAAAGGCTCATTTGAAGTTTTTCCCTTCTGCACACTCTTACATTCAGGGGCTAAAATCAGCACCAGAGAGGAGCTCCTCTGGAGAGACAGGAGAGGTCACACCGCTGGGAGGATGAACAGGACGGCAGCGTAGCTCAACTCCCATCTCTGGTGCGGTGCAGGGAACGGTAGGATGGGACATGGCACAGTTGCAGCCAGGGTAGTTTATATTTATTAGCACAGAAGTGTAAAAATATTTGGTGGTAAAATGAGCCCAGCGGATGTTTTTGCTGGCAGGAGCCTGCGAGTGACAACTGCACCAGGCATTGTGAAAGAGCAACAGCTGAGCATGTGCTGGGGCTGCTTCCACACTGCCAGCGAGGCATCCCATGCTCTGGGATTAATCGGATTACAGGGGCTTTCCACTTCCCACCCAGATCAATTGGCATTTTAAGTAATTCACTTATCGCCCTGGAGAGTGAAAGGCTGAAGTTACTTCAGTACAAAGCCTTCTGCAGAAGTTTAAGAGCCTTCTCCTCTCCCCAAGCCCTTGCCTCCAGCTCCTTTCTTTGCTGCTTTCCTATGTTCCCACTCCGTTCTACTTCTTGCACAAAACGAACAATTAATTATTATGATGCAAAAATAAAACACTTTTGAGAAATTTCCACCCGCTCCCCCCCAACAAAAATAAAGCAAAGAAAATATGTTAAACTTCATTCTGTGTGAAGTCAGAAGGAACGTGCCCCATTAAACAGATTTCCAGCATACTTTAAGTCCATTTCAAGAGCAGCATTCCATTGCAGGAGCCCTGGCCAAGCAGCCACCTTCCTGGAGAGATGTTATTCTGCCACTGCAGGGGTGCTCTTTATACAGCTGGAAACCAATAGTCAGCAAATGCTTTGATCTTTCCTTTTACTTTTTGTAAGAACTACGTGATGACTTTCAATCATTTCCTTTCTTTGGAACTCCCTGGCTCCACACTACAGTTCAGTACATTGTCAGCATCTGAGAGGGCACAGCTGTACCGGGGAGATCACTGATGGATATTCCTGCAGTCCAGACAACTTTCCAGAGCTGGTAAAATAGACACTGGGCAAAACGTGACTGAGGTAAATAACAGGTTACTACAGATTTTCTTATGAAAGGAAGTATGACACAACGTCTTCCCTTTTTTACCCCTCTTGTACAGTAGGGTGAATAAACGCAAAAGTAAGGGAAAAAGTGGCATCCAAGGGGTCATGGCAGGAAGTGGAGTGCCTGGTACCAAAGCCTTCATTAAGAAAACAAACTCGTTCTGAATATTTTACAGCACCAACTTTCTACCTCAGACCTCTAAACCTCGTAAAGTCAGCAAGGCACCATCAATGAGAACTGTAATCACGGAATATCACAAACACCTACAACAGCAGATACAGAATGGAACAAAACCAGGCCAAGCCCCACGCTCAGGTAGGAAAGAGCCGACAATTCACACGGAAGTCCGCAGCCTGCAGCTAAGTAAATATTCCACCGGCTCCCAGAACAGCTCTATCACTGATACAAAATAGTCTTTGTTGTATCATCAAAAGCCATCCACCTACTGATCAGACAGCCATAAAACAGATGCTGCAGGCCATTCCCTATCCTTGCACCTTACCCACTGGCCAAAAATGCCTGAGGTTCCCACAGCACATGGTCTGGCACTTCTTTTCCACGGCCACACCAGGCATTGCTGTCTCCTGAGCTATTCTCTGCTTTGAATTTGATTAAACATCCATGAGAGCCAAGAAAGCCAAGCTTTGTGCCCTGGTGGAGAAGCAACAGCTCTTCCTTACATCCCCTGCCACTTTCCCCATGTGGAGCAGCACCCTTGTTTTGGGAATTGTTTCCACCATCAGAATTTCATTATGATAGTTAAAGCAAATGCTCTAAAAAGAAAAGCCTTGGCAACCTCCACTCAAAAAGAATGCTCTGGAAAGGATACTCTCCCAGAAACACTTTCAATGATTTTGAGATGCAGTACCTAAGACAAACATTCATATCAAGCCATAAACTTTATGGGACACAAAGTCCTGCTTAGTTATCATTACAGCAGCAAATCAGTTGCTACAACACAGCACAGAAGGCGGTAAACCTTTTCCCCCAAGCACCTTCTTGTTTACTGCTGCAGGACTTAATACACTAATTGATCTTATCAAACTTACACAGACAATAAAACCTCGATAAAGAGTGTCTGCTTTGTCACCTTTCCAACAGGAAGACTTGTGCCCTAAATCCCCTGGCAAGCCGCGGCCCCCAGCATTGGGCTGATCCAGGGCCCAGGCTCCGGGCGGCTGGCGCTGGCTGCGCTGGGACCATCCCAGCACTGCAGCTGCGGCTCAGCACAGATGTGCTGGGCCAGGACAGGGAGAGAAGCCCTCCAGAGCCAGACAGACCTCTCAGCATCTCCCTGTCACAGCCCAGCCACCAGCCCTCGCTGCGCCCTGACAGGCGCCGGCTCCGAGGAGACCTGTGTCAGCCACATGGGGATACACCAGGGCAGAAAAGGGGGGAAATGCCAAATACTGTCACACACACACACAGTGAGTAACAACCATTATTATCATCTCTTTGCCCTCCTGGTCGGCCACGGGGAATTCAGGAGTCTCGAAGTCTCTTTCGCATAGGACCCAATTACTCCGCTAAGACAGACCCACAGATTTCATCTCCACATTTTATCATCCGAGTGTGTCACAATCCTCCTTGTCCATGATGGTAGTGAGCCAGCGGTGTGAGGCTGGTGAGATTTCCCAGGAAACACAGGGATACTCAGACATGGTAGACTTTACATAGACAGAGCTGGAGGTCTGGAGAAACAGGCAATTTGCCTTCCCTGTCCTGTGACGGACACTTCCCCTTCCCACCTTCCCTTCTGACATCTTTACACTCAGTCTACTTCCCCACAAGGATGTTAACTTTAAAAAGCGTAAACACAAGTCCACAAAAAATGGCATGAAGGAAACGCAGACTTTTCTTATGAAGGATTACAGCGGAGCTATACAGATAAAGCACTCTCCTGACAACTGCAGTACTAAATCCTTTTAGAACGTGCACAAAACATCCCAGGGACCAAGTGCAAGCAGCTCAGCTCTGGATGCCCATAGAGTTCATAGAGTCAGCTTTCAAGGCTGCCCTACCTATAGAATAAAGCTTAAAACTCATGTCCTAATCTCGGCTGATCAGGACGTCTTCAAAACATCTGCAAGTTTTGGTGCAGTGCCCAGGAATCATAATTACTTCTGAGGAGGAGAAATGCAGATTTATTAAGACGGGGCCATACCTGTAAAATTAAGAATCTTAGGCAAGACATGCCATTGCTAACAACAGTTCAAAACTCGATGGGAGTCAGCACTGCGGAATGGTGAACTCCAGACATATTTTTAATGATGTTTTTGGTTACACTCCATTTAAAAGAATCATCTGTCAACACCCATCATTTCCTTTTGTATAATTCATAAAGTGGTTAATTTCAGAAGCAAAAGTATTATGGGTTTGAGTAATTGACTGCTGAAGCACAGTAGGTGCTCCGTCTCCCCATCTGGCGCCCGGGAGCACGTGCTCCGAGCGCTCCGATGGCGGGCTCGCTGCCCACCCGGGGGCGGGGGCCGTGCAGGAACACGGAGCAGCTCCCTGTGCTGCCAGCACCACGGCTCCCGCTGCCTCGGAGCACACGGACCGACTGGGGCTGGCTGGGGAGAGCCCCACCTGTGCCCGGCCGCAGCGCTCGGGGCCGCTGGTGGCCCTGCCCTGTGCACACCAGCAAAGGCAGCCACGCTCCGTCAGAGCGCCCTTGGGCCAGGATTGCACAGCTCGGTGCCCTCACGCATCTTCTTCTAACCATATTTTCACAGAATGCCTTTGGAGGATTATAAACACTATTTGTAATTTACTTCAGTAAGTTTGCCATGGAAACTTGCTGAGGATGGAACCCCCAAGTTTCTTCCTCTGAGCCATAAGTCAGTTCTCACTCGAGTGCTTCAGGAGCTGGCGTGACAGATCTGACTTGGCCTCCAGATTCCATTGGGGGGAACCCCTCCCGTGTTTCCCCTAGAACTGGAAACAGACACAGTGGCACAGCCCTCCTTGCACAGTGTCAGATGCTGTCCCGAGACTGGCCATCAAGCCAGGCAAAAGCTTCTGATATTCTGTGTTCTGAGTCTCCAGATTTAAGCAATCAGATAATGGTCACTGGTTAATTATATAGAGAAGTGTCACATGTACTGCCTGCCACCAACCATTGTTCTAGTGCAGAACAACCCTGCAGAGAACACCTTACACCTCAGTTCCCATGGGGAAGTGACAAACACACCCCGCTGCAAACGCAGCAGCCCAAGATAATGACCCCAGCCAGGCTCAGCCAACAGTGCACAATACACCAAGAGCTAGCAGGCCGCTGCAATTCTTTAGAATCTGACAATTATTCTTCCCTGATAATAATTAGGGGCTTGGGAAGAGGGAGGCTGCTTTCCCTTTCAGGGATGTTTGATCCACGTCCAGCTGTAGTGCTGAGATACAGAGGAGGAGGCAGGAGTATTCATGAGGAGCCAACTAGAAAGAAACGAGTGACAAGCAGGATTGAAGAGAGACAGAGATGTTGTCTCCAAATCCTGCTTTTCTTGGGAAGTTCACAATCTCTTTACAAACTTTAACATAGTCCTCCACTAATGTCCTCCTGGGGTAACTAACCCAAAACACCAAAACTCAGTAGCTTTTACAGAGAAGGAGCAACTTCTGGAGGAACAAGAACCTCCTTTTCGGAGCTGTTTGTTACCTGGCTCAACTGACGCTGGAGTGTCAAGAACACGCTCGCTGCTCCTAGCCAGGGCGAGCTGCAGAGACGGGAGCTGCACAGCCAAACTCAGCAGGAACCACCTCAAACAGGGCACCCCTTAAACACTTGGCACCGAATAAAATGCAGCAGAGAATACCAGGTGCGTTTCTGGCAATCATTTGAAACAGTTTGTTTTCAAGTTACTCAAGTCTGCATCAAAATGTTCCATGAAAAAACTCCTTGAGCACTGCATTTTTCCAAGTGAACAGTGATTCACAGAAACCTCCTGTGGTGGGAGGGGAAGGGGCAAAGCAAACCTGACATTTTGAGGTGTAAAAGTCAGCAAACCAACAGGATGAAACTGAGGGAAGAGCAAGCAAAAGTTAGGGCTGTGCTTCCTCAGCCATAAATTACACAACAGGAAAACATGTTAAGTTGTCAGCCAGAGCAAGGGCAGATGAAACCACCCCCCAAGAAATGCATCACAGCCCAAAACAAAGCTTATCCCACCAGAGCTCTCACTGGAGAGGGGTGGTAAAAAGCCTCAGAGCTCTGGATGAGCGCAGTTTCCAGCAGGGCCCCAGATACTTTTCAAAGGCTTGACATTCATTCTGCGAAACTCTTCAAGCTCACAGCAGAGCTGTCAGGAGAGCTGGATTCCCCTTCTGCAGGTGCAATTTTACACATGGAAAATCAATTCCAGATGCAAAGCAGAGTACTTCTCCATCTCCAGAACATGAGCTGCAGTTTGAGTGATGTTCACTCGCTGAAATTCCCCCCTGCAGCTCAGCTATGGGTTAACACGGAGGGAGCCCACTCCTCAAAACCTCTGCTGATCCATCTCCTCCTGCCTCCCTGCCACATACATGGTGGCATGGGGGGCACAACGCAATAATCCTGCACCTCGGCCTTGGGCAAAGGATTTTAAGCATATAATTCCAATTCTAATATAGAATATTAGAATATTATGGTATATATATATAATATAATGGTATTACAACGCCAATTATTTGTGGTAGGTAAAAATACTTCTTCAATTCTAAATTAAATGTAAAGAGACCAACAAACAACTGGAAAGTTTACTCATAAATAAGGAGTCTTGGACATCTTTGGGGATGTCAAACTCTTCAAAATGCTTGATAATCACATTTCCAATTTCCTTCCCCCCTCAACCCCCCTGTGTGCACAGCACAGGAGTCTGAGGCAAGCTGAAGGTACAGAACTTCTGTAGAAGCAATCAAATGTCACAGCTGGCCCTAAAGCAGCAGGGTGAGCTAAGGAGGTGTTCTGCCTGGGATCAGCACAGCTCATCTGCACCGTGACTCCAACACCTGCTGAATGGACTCCGTGGGGTGGCAGGCAGGGACACACAGAGGAGGCTCTCCTGGGCAGACGCATCACCCGAGGCTCATGTCCCAAACGAGTGCCCCGATCCCAGCAGTCACAGCCCTGGGCAGCTCCCCGGCAAAGCTCCCCGCTCAGCCGTGGCAGCCTGGTCAAACACTTTCTCCTACAGGTTAAACTTGTCTGTTTAACTTCTCACAAGATCGAAGAGGAAATGAAGAGAAAAATTCCTCAGTGGCGCTCCTAACTGCGGGAGTAAATACAACCCAACTTACGTTTTACATACAGAACCCGACCGAAAAGACAGATA